CTGTACTGTCAGTATGTTACATGTAACGTATGCCACTGCCAGTGGCTGCTGCCAGTGCATGTGTTGGTGCAGTTTTTGCCTGCATTAATTGGTTACAGGTGGCAGCTCTCTATTGCAATTTGCAGCCTGTAGGCTTGCGTAGGTAAATGGATGAGTGCTTACCTATTATGTCTTGCAGATAGTTGTCGTGAAAAGGACTCAGGATGACAAATTTGGGGGTCAAGGGTCAAAGGTCAAGATGTGTAAACGGAGGGGGAATATTTCCCCCTTAACTTAAGGTATAGGAGGAAATACGGAATTGCGGCACAAATCTTAACGGCTTGACCTACGCTCTTAATATTCGGTGTATAGTGTGATGGGCAGGAAACCCATCACCAGTGCGAAATTGGAGGTCACAGGTCAAAGGGCAGTGGGGGAAAGGTCAGATATCAGACATTTTCTGAAGACATGGCCTAATGGACAGAGTGAAAAACTTTTTTGTTTCAGCGCTGATCTACCATTTTTATCACTTTATTGAAAGGACCATGAAATGTGCTTTCCACTGACGTGCGAAGAGTAAGTGTTTGATAACCTTTTGACCCTCAAGAGGAGGGTTAAACATGGATTCCTGAACTGCCTCAATAACGTCACAGTGTTGTCATATTTATGGCACATGCATAATCTAGAAACTCAATAAGCCTGGATAGCCGAACTGCACGGGCGTCACGGCTCAAAGGTTGTTGGATCGAATCCCATCTTATTTTTTATTTTTTACCTGTTTTCTGTATTTTTCTATCTTTATCCATTTAACTATTTTTTCCAATTAACGCAAATATTTACGTGATTTGTTTACAACAATTTAATAACAACAAATAATTTTTACAACAATTAATTTATTTTTATTTTTTAATAGGGTTAGGGTTAGGGTCACAATGCACCATAAAACAGGAGTTTCAGGCACGCGATTTGTATCAACCAATGGGATTTGGGAGGTATGCAGAATGCAGAAGGTTGCTGAAATGATGTGTACGCAACTGTGTATCTGCATATCTGCGCCTAACAAAGGTGTCATTACGCACGACTTAAATGTTACGTTTATAACCCTAGCAACAAAGCTCAGATGAGCCCAGACGCTCTGCGGCTCTTGTTTTGACAAATTCTCTAGTAAACTTATAGACATGCCACACTTTGAGCACTGATAGAAATGAGCTTTTGATAAAAAAAAGTCAAGTGGATTATCTGCTCTCAAAATTAGGGAGTAAAATGGAGTGTTGTACTCTGGCCTTGTATTAATTTTGACACCTACACCTATATATATTCAGCAATTATTTAATAATCATTCGGTCGTGTCATATCCTGTTATTCAAAGTTTATATCTTCAAAGAATGATCACACTGCACAAATTAGAGTGTCTTGTCATGTGATAGTCAGATGGTCAAGCGTTTGTTCCGAGAGAAGAGAATTCCTAGTTGCTAAAGATCAGTTACCTAGCTGAAGTGTCACTCGTAGAATAGCTGTTATGTTGCATAGTTTGGTTTAGCCAAACAGTTGGTGGTGCCAATATTAAACATTTTATTTCAACCAAATAATGGTATTTTGAAATAATGCATAATTGTTGATAGGTGACTTGATTGATAGCAGTATGTTCTATATTAGTTCACACTATCTTAATATTTTTGTTTCTTTAATTGCAGATGGTGAGACTGGACCTGTTTTGTATGAAAAAAAGTATTTCATTCCTGGAGACACATACTTCTGCCCTTCAGATCAGCATGTTACGTCAGTTGGAAAAAGGAACATGCAATACTGCATTGTTGAGGGCCAATTTGATGATGCTTGATAGATGATTTCACTGCAATGTAATGTAGTATAGAATTTTTTCCAATAATTTCCCAACAGTGCTCGTATAAAAGTACATGTTTTCTGATTTTAAAGCTCGGTATGACTTCGCGTTTAGAAGTTAGAGTCAGTGTATTGTTTGGTTGTGATTGTTTTTTAGCAGTGGCAGTTTTGACAGATTTGTCAACACGATAAATCAAGGTCCATTATGTCTATAAATATGTAAATATATTGTATTGTATTTTTCATGTGCTAATAATATATTTTTTGTATTATTAGAGTAATCAAATATTTGACTCATGATATATCTGTAAGGTATTTTGCTTACTACCAATTCTAAACAATAACACTACAAATCAAAATGATTGAAATTGTCAGGCATGAGAATTTTCCGCTGCTTCGCGGATTTCCGGGTTTTGGTTTTAATTTTGTTCATTCTTGATCGATGAAAAAAAATTTGATGGGGGCAAGGTGTACTTGAAGGTAACATAAAAAACTTCTGTCTTCAGTGCATCTCACTACTTTGAATATCAGATTCTTTTTCTCAACAACATACTCTTGCACATTCAAATTTTTACTGTTTCTAGTCACACGATGGCGCCGCAATCGCATCGTCAAAAATGACTCCTGAGGACTTTTTGTACGCTTTGCTTTTAATTATTTCTGTTGTTATTGGATATTACATAAAGCCTATTAAAGACGCTAGGAAGAAACAGTGGGCTTTAGCGGTATCAGGAGTGTTACTAATCAGCGGCATTGTAAGAGTTCACCTGTTACATTCAATTATCACAGTAGCTGGAAATTGTGCCCTAATCAAAGCATCTCGCAGGTAAAAAATAAATAAATCATTATTCATAATCCGTCTTCATAAATATTATATCATAATATGATATAAATAAGGTTTATAATAATATATAAAACAGTAATCAATAATACCACATGTTGATTTTTGTGAAATAACGCAGATAAGGTCTATGTCCCCCGGCCCTGGACCTCTGTTTGACCTGGCTCGTTTAGCTATTTCTGACTAAGCCTAATAATATTAGGCTGTTGCTCCTGCGACGGTACCGTCGCCGAATTTTTTTCTCTTCAACTCACGGTAGTGATGCCAGCGCCATCTATCGGCGAATAATAACTACCGTTGCTTTTGGTACGATATTATATATACGATTTTATACGATATATACGATAACCCTAACCCTAACCCTAACCCTAACCCTAACCATGTGCATTCCACTGTTTCGGCGTGTATGTGAACACATTTGGGACTAACAGGGTTTACTAGAATCCCACCACTCCACCACAGAGTCACCGCAGTAGTCGTTAGATGAGCGCTGTCGCTCCGCGGCACTTGTTATTTATTTTTAGCTCATCTGACATAGTCAGATGCACAGGCACTTGAAGCGTTTCAATAAAAATATATATGCAGGGGTCATGTGCTATGCACGGCGACAGTTAAATATATAGCAGGTAAGAAAGCGTGCGCCAGAAATTCGCTCGACTCTTGCTGCATTTCACAGGATTACAACACAAATACTTAACCTTCCGACTCCATCTTTGCTGCTAATTGAAGAACAGTGTTCACTTGTTGTAGAAATATTATGTCTCAGTTCGAAACAGAGCTGTGTCACGCAAAATCACGAATGAAATCATGAAATTCTTGCGATTGCTAGCACTGCGCACGACTTAAATGTTACGTTTATAACCGTAGCAACAGACCTCAGATGAGCCCAAACGCTCTGCGGCTCTTGTTTACAATGACATTGTAATTTCAACAAGATCAATGTCTGCTGTTCACCATGCACTAAAGTGCACTTATACTGGGTCTTCTGAGTATAGCCATAGGTGCATACGAAATGGCGCTAACAAGTTGAAAAGAAGTAGATATAAGGAAGTGGCTATATGCCCGGCAGCCGGGCACGGTTTTCGATTTCCTAAATGCCCGGCAGTTTTTAATTTTCGGTGATTTCTCAAGTAAACAGGAGGGTTAGGGTGCCAGCTGCCGGGCATATAGCCACAGCGTAGATATAAACCCTAACTTTCTTAAAGGCTTAACCCTAATCAGGCATAATTTCTAACCCTAATTCCTAATCCCTAACCCTAATCCCAAACCCTCACCCCAATCCTAGTTCCAAACCCTCACCCTAACCCTAGTCCCAAACCCTCACCCTAACCCTAGTCCCAAACCCTAACCCTGACCCCTAACCCTGATCCCAAACCCTAACCCTAATCCCAAACACTAACCCTAACCCCTAATCCAAAACCCTAAATTGCTCATCACAAACCCCAACCCTAATCCAAAACCCCAATCTTAATCCAAAACCCTAATCCTAATCCCAAACCCTAATCCCAAACAATAACCCTAACCCTAATCCCAAACCTTAACCCTAATCCCAAGCCCTAACCCTAATCCCTAACCCTAATCCCAAACCCTAATCCTAAACTTAACACCCATACACTGACCCTCAACCCTAGCCCTAATTCACAACTCTAACTATAATCCCCTACCCTAATCCCCAACCCTATTTCCCAACCCTAATCTTAATCCCCTATCCTAACCCTAATCCCCATACCCTAACCTTAACCCCAATCCTAACCCTAATCCCAAACTCTAATCCTAAACCTAACACCATACACTGACCCCCAACCCTAGCCCTAATTCACAACTCTAACTATAATCCCCTACCCTAATCCCCAACCCTAATCCCAACCCTAATCCCCAACCCTATTCCCCAACTCTAATCCTAATCCCCTATTCTAACCCTAATCCCCATACCCTAACCTTGACCCCAACCCTAATCCCCCAACCCCAATCCTAATGCCCAACCCTAACCCCATTCTTCAAACCTATTCCTGATCCCCAACCCTAAACATAACTGGTAGCTACTGGTAGTAAGGCAAACCAAGTTGTGAGGGATTAGTCTTACGTTTTGTACACTTTTTGTTATAACAGAAATGGATGATCCTATGGTGAATAAACAAGATTCTGGAAAAGAGCCATCTCTAAAAGACGGTGGCATTGGTCATAATGAGCACAGCGAGGTAAGAGTCTACCACAGAGAATTGGAAATTTCTGATTTACCGTCAGCAAGTCACAGGGGCAATATAAATTATATTTTCAGTCATTGCATTTACTCTATTCAGTCAAGAGCGTATTAAAGTGTCTACGTCACGAATCTCCAGAAATTATTTAAAAAAATATAGTTGAAACCTTATTTTTGTAATTTTTTTGCATCAAAAGTTAGTACTAACGTTACTAAATATATCCTCAAACTCTCACGTGATAAAAATGTTTTTAGCGGGGAGGGTGAGAAATAGGTGGTGAGTTTAACGTCCTCACACTCCTGGTAAGAGATAAAGTTTTGCGGAAAAGTGCGTAGACGGAGATATGGTCTGGTGTGACAATGTATGTGTTGAGATGGCGATGGAGGAGCGGAGAGCGAAGTGAAATACTGCATATTTAGCATGAAGAGAGTGCGCGTGAGCATAGTGAGAGACTTCTGTAGCTCTGAGTTGAAACACAATGGAGTCGATGTCAAAACAGGGATATTTGTGAGAGAGAAGGTGCCTGAGTGCACAGAAGTAGGTAGGGGCGGCGGAAGAACAGATGTTCTTGTTCATATGATTTGCTGAGTGTGAAGCTATATATTGAAGCGAGATGTGGGCAGGTGATATGGGGAGAGAGAAATGACCCTTAGCAATATAGTGGAAAATGAAATATGAAGAGAAAATGTTGCGAGTCAGTATAAAGGTTGCAAAAATGTGTAAACGAGAAAAATCAATTAGTTGAAGATGAGCGTGAGGACAAGAGGAGGGCAGAAAGAACCGTGCGTGAGAATATGTATTTTGTATTATTTTGTATAATTATCGTGGGAGAAGGGTGTCGACCAAGACACACAAGTGAGTATTGTGGACAATCGCGGACCCTGTCACAGGATAGAGTGCGAGAAGAGAGCATAGATCAAGCTAACACGATAAACCAATGGTGGGCAGAACCAGTGCAGGTAGGGAAAGAAAGACGACAAGAGAAAAGGCCAAAGGAAGATAATATGAGGAAACGTGCCCCGCTTAAGTTTAATCAGATGGAAATTTCCCATGCGCATGCCCACAATAATTTTGGCCAATGGGCCTGATTGAGTTTTAGCCACAGGAGCCACGAGAAATGTCGCTGAATAAAGCTGGGTGGGAGAAAGGAGGCACGGAGAAGGGAGAAATGCTGGTGGAAGGAGTCGAGGAGGAGGCTGGGAGACTGCGTCTGAGAGGAGAAGACGCTGCTGGAGGCAGGGAGAAGGCGAGAGCAAGACGCAGGTAGAGAAGAGAAGGGGAGATAGAGTCTTTGCTAGATGGATGCATAACGGGAGGTTGATAGGGTGGAGTTGACAGAAGGGGAAGAAGCTGGTGCGAGGAGCCGTAGGTTGGTATAAGGGGACATCCACAGAAATGCACAAGAGAAGCCTGTGCAAGATTAAGGAGTAGTACACCACCCCACCATGAGATATGAGAGGGCATGAGGGAAAAGTAAGAAGCAAAGGAAAAAACACTAATGTGTATATTGATGATTCAGTACATTGAGTTAAATTTGGATGAAGCATCGAAATAACAGACACAAGTAGTGGAGAGAGGGGGAGAAAAAACTGTGGCCATAACTTGCTGGGTGGCAAAGAGAGGGGCGAAAAGAAGTATTGCACGTACGTGGTGAACGGTAGGACAGTATGTAAAGGAGAGGAGGGAGAGCGGAATGGACCGGAGACACGAGTGAAGAGAGCGTGAAGGACGCGGAAATATTGAAGGCGAGATATATATAGAGTCCGAATTGAGGTAAGAGAAATTTTTGACGGCGCGGTAGTTAATGGAGGCTGTATGGACAGGATATCGTTAGGAGAGACCGAATCCGGGGAGTCAGATCAAGGACGGTTATCACGAACACAAATAAACTAGGGGCACCGAAGATCGGTAGACTTGTTCACCCATCGAATCATTTAGACAGGCATGCAAGGGGCAGGATCGGGATGAAGGGGAGCGAAGAACCTGTTGAGCGTTTGTTGTTAAATAGGTAAGGTGAGAGATGTAAGGAGGGGAGGCAAGAGGCTTGATTAATGATTGACTAACCAGGAAGGGAGGGAGAGCGAGAGGATAGAGAGTCGAGCTAAAAAAAGACCTGGACGTGGCGAGAAGATGTCTTGAATTCGAGCGCCTAGAGGGTAGCAGCGAGACAGGATAGCGTTTGTCAGGGGCATTTCACCAAGTGCTAACGAAGACTCTCAATTATAGAGTGCGCGTATAGACGACTACTACTGGATTCAGGGTTCAATCTTGATAATATTAGGGATTGGAGCGGGTATGATATACGGAGAACCGCCACTGGTATAGGAGCAGATGTTAGGGTAATAGGGAGCGGAGGAATTTGAGAGGATGAAAGAGAAGTATAGAGCTGCTGTGGTACATAGACTGGGAAAGTGAGAAGGAGAAACATGGTCAGAGTAGAAAATGGGGGAGTTGGTGTGAGACATAACAACTAAGCTAGACTGCGAGAAAGTCTAAGAAGACAGCTATGGTGTGCGTGGATAATGAGGTCGAACGAAACACCACGTTGTGCGAGTCACACTCTGTTTTATGCAATGACAGCGAGACGTATTCCATTATAGATATGTCTCAGGCTGGAGAGGAGAGGGAGAAAGGAGTAAGACAGCTGTGTTAAAGATAAACGAGTGCGGCAAGAAAGCACGAGAGAGCTGGTGATACGTATATGGACGGAGAACAAGGGCGAGCAAAAGACACCTGCAATTGAGCGAATGCATGAACAGAGAGAGAGAATGGCTGCTGTGAGGA